AGGAATCAACCTAGTTGCTTCCTAATAGGGGGGTTCTGCTAGGTTCTCTGTGGCCAAGTGTCATTCCTTTTCTTTCTCCCTTTCTTCCTTCCTTTTCTTTCTCTTTCTTGCTTCCTTTCATTCCCTTTTTTTTTTTTTAAGTTCAAGTCAGCCAAGAAAAATCTATTGGTCTTTGGTCTTTAGGGACCTTGGGAAGACAAGGCCCAGGTGTTTTGGAAATTACTCTGCAATGAAGGTGAGGGAAATGGATACATAGCCATTGAGGATGGCATTACTCTCATAACGTCAGAAAGAATGACTTAGGGAAGGGAACTCTAGTGCTGTGCCTCACCAGCCCTGGCTGTGGTACAGGTGAACCGGCTGGGCAGAAAGCCAGATCTGCCAGAAAGGATACCAGCCCCACCCCCAAAAGGCTCTGCTGGGTCACTTCCGGCAAAGCTCAAGGAGAAAACCTCAGCTTAGAGCCTAGACAAACTGCAGATATGGAAAGAAACGGTGACAACAGGTCTTGTTTAAGCTTCGTCGGGATTCACAGGGAAAAAGGCAATCACCTTTGCTTGGAGACTGGTATTTATATGTCCTTCCTGATTCTGCATAATTGGGGTCTTCCCAGGTACAGTGTCCCAGTGGTCCCCAGCAAAGGCTCCACTGGTGTCCTGTAAGGTAAGGCTAATAGATGCTACCCAGTGCTGGAATCATTTGGGTAATTTTAAACATGCATGTGTTGGGGAAGGCTTCAGACAAGATCGATCTTTTTTCTTAAGAGTGTCTTGGGACCTATCTTTTAAATGTCCATTTCTCCTCTGCGTACAAAGTTCTCACGAAAAACTGCTACGTAGCTGGGTAAGAGATAGGAAATAGGTTCTGTGGTTTGTGGAATGAGGTGGATTCTCACCCCTAAATAAATGTCCTCAGGATGGAGGAAGTGGATTTCCTCCCCTGGAAACACGACAGGGAGCAGCGGGTTTCCATTTGACCTTACAACTTCAGCTGGGTTAAGCCTCTCCCACGCTGTCTTTTTGTACCCACAGTAACTCAGCTTTCCAACTTCCAGGCTACAAACAACACCGGGTACAAACCACAGCAAATTTATTACTCAATGTCCAGTTCCACGCCATAGCACCACCCGGAGCCCTCACTTTCCTCCCCCCAAACGTGGCCCCAAGGGTACACCAAAACAGAAAGAAAATGAAATGAGATCCAGATCCCTGCTCCTCCCCTGGAAGAGGGGGCCTTGGCCAGGAAGCCCATCCACAGGTCCCAGCAGGCAGGAGAGCAGAGCCCTCTGTGCCCAGAGAGCAAGGCTCCAGGCTCCAACAACAAGAGAGAACATGCAGGCAGGAGCAGGAGCAGAGGCCTGTCTGTGGGGAGGAAGAGTGGGAGGAAGGGCACTGCCTGAGGAGTCCGGGAGTCTGGTCATCCCGGGATGCACGCGGGAGCTTCCGGGCAGCAGGGGCCTGCCCCTGGCTGGCTAACGCTTTGACAGCTCATGGGACAGCCAGTCCAGCCCATCATACAGGCCTGTGCCTTGGGTGGCACAGGTGGCCTGGACGTACCACTGTAGGAAGAAAGAGAGAGGTAAATCAGCATCGCGGAAGACAAGGGGTACCTTTCTACTTTGGTCTAGCCTGGGGCTCCTGAGGAAAGACCAGACCCAGCGCAAAGGGGACGGGATCCTTACCGTGCGGCTACGCAAGTGCTGAAGCCCCAGCTTGTCAGTCAGCTCACTCACAGGCATGGCATTGGGCATGTCCTGCTTGTTGGCAAACACCAGCAGCACCGCATCCCGAAGCTCATCCTCTTGCAGCTGAGAGGGGAAGAGAGAGGGTGGGACCCACGGCTGCAAGGATCCTAGGTCCCTGCTGACTACACTGTAGAGGGTTCCCTACACCGTGCATATGCAGCTTATTGCTCAATAGAAGGCAGTTATAAACGAGCACAAAGCCCCTAAATTTGACCTCCAGAAAGCCTTCGAATTTAAGAGCTTGCCCTAAGCAAACATGCAGAACATTAAAAAACAAAGAAAAACAAGAAATGTGAGAGGCTGTTTCTCTTTACCATAGATAAATAATCACTCCCTTTCCCCAACTCCTTAGATTCAGATAGAAAGGGATTCAAACGAAAAAGTCCTGCCAAACTGGGTGAGGTGCAACTTCTCCAGTGCCACAAAAAACCTTCAGATTCCCTGCCCACAGAGTACTGGACTTCCATACCACCTCAGAGAACTGTCCCCAAGCCCAGTGCTCCGATCTGGACACTCACCATCTTCTGCAGTTCATCAGCGGACTCCTGGACCCGCTCTCGGTCATTACTGTCTACCACGAAGATGAGGCCCTGGAAGGAAGAGGAAGCAGGAGAGATCACTCCCACCTACGCCCAGCCCCAACCCCGCCTCTTCTCACGTTGCCCATCTTTAGCTGTGTGAGCCTTTCTCATCTGCCACATTTCTATTAAGGGTCTGCAGCGAGCACCCCAAAGTAGAGGGGGCAAACAAAAAGACGTTCTGAGCCGGGCGGTGGTGGCGCACGCCTTTAATCCCAGCACTCGGGAGGCAGAGGCAGGCGGATCTCTGTGAGCTCGAGGCCAGCCTGGTCTACAGAGTGAGTTCCAGGACAGCATCTAAAGCCACAGAGAAACCCTGTCTCAAACCCCCCCCCAAAAAAAAGAAAAGAAAAAAAAAAGATGTTCTGTTTGAGAGCTACAGGAGGCAGCGTGGCCCCAGAACCCTGCTTCCCAGAATAAGATGAGGGTGAACTCTTAAGGAGGGGTGAAGCTAGCTAAGCGAAGGGGAGAGGGATGAGGGCCCAGGACTCAGCCAACACCTGATTCCTGGCCCATACCACCCTCTCCCTGGGGCTGTCCCTCCACCCTTCGTCCCCACGCCACCTGAGTGTTCTGGAAGTAGTGCCGCCACAGAGGTCGAATCTTGTCCTGGCCTCCGACATCCCAGACTGTGAAACAGATGTTCTTATACTCCACTGTTTCCACGTTGAAGCCTGCGGATAATTTTTTTTAAGAGAGAGAGAGAAAAAAAACAAGTCCTGAAAGGAACTCTCCAAAACCACTTGGATCAGTTCAGCAATGGTGTCGCACATCTTTAATGCCAGCACTCAGAAGGCAGAGGCAGGCGGATCTCTGTGATTTCGAAGGCAGCCTGGTCTACAGAGTGAGTTCCAGGACAGCAAAGGTTACAGAGAGAGATCCTGTCTTGAAAACATACAAGCACAACACAACAAAACAAACAACAACAACAAAAAACCCCACTCGGATCTTCTACAGGCACACAAACCCAGAAGGCGGTGACCAAGGCCAATGGGAACAGAATCCAGAAGGACCGGAGGTCAACAGATAGGCTAGGCTCATGGTCCACGCCTCAGGCACCAGCAGGCACGCAGAGATACCGTGACCCACTTCTCAAGTAGCTGTATCTGGTGTCAGGGTCAGGAACAGATAAGGGCCTCAGCAGAACTAGGAGCAGACCCCGAGAAGGCCCGACACGACATTCCCGCAAACCCTTGCCTAGTTCCCGGACTCACCTATGGTGGGGATGGTGGTGACAATCTCCCCCAACTTCAGTTTGTACAGGATGGTAGTCTTGCCAGCCGCATCCAAGCCAACTGCAACGGAGAGGGGCACAGAATGGAGACGGGAGCGAGGGAGCCCCCTAGAGACCAGGGAAAGGGAGAGGGCTGGCCAGCTGATGGTGATGGGGGCGGAGAGCGGGAGAGCCTCCAGGTGCGAGCCGTTCTCCACCTTCCGGGCCTTTTGAGGGCAGTCTGCGTGGCGAGTGCCAACTCCCGTCGCCCAAGTGGCCGAGGGGCGAGGGGGGCTTGGGAGGTGGGGGGCCCGGGAGGAAGGCCGCGTTCCTTTGAAAAGTCGTTTCCAAGGGCGGAATCCTCCCTTCTTAGCAGCCGGGCTGGGGCGGAGGAAGCGTCACCCCACCCAGGCCCCAGCTCCGGGTTTCAGGCCCGGGGCCGACACCGCAGATCCGGGCCTGCATAAGAGCGCAGCCCCGGAGGCTTTGGCGGAGGGGTGTCTCGGGGTCAGGGTACCAGGTGAGCGGGGCTGGAGGGACGCGGGGGCGGGAGGGTTGCGGCGGGGCCGGCGCCCCATCCGGGCCGCGCGCTCGATCTGCCTCACCCATGAGGATACGCATCTGCTTCTTCCCGAAGATCCGCGAAAAGAGCGCGGACACCGTGAGGCCCATGGTGGGGCCCGGGGCGGGGGCGCGGGCAGGGACGCGGGGTGAGGGCTGGAACCGGCCGGTCGCGGGGGGGATGGGGCGCAACAGCAGAAGGAGGAGGCGCCGCCGCCGCCACCGCCTCCGCGCGTCCGGGTCCGCCCGACGTCACGTGGCCACGCCCCTCCGGGTCCGCCCGGCCCCGCCCCCAGGCGCGTTTGCGGAAGCACCGAAGTCTGGCGAGGCCTGGCAACCTTTCCCTGGCCGAGATTGGAAACGGAGTGGTTCTGGGTCTCCGACCTCTGCAGGGTTTTGCTTTATTCTCCAGTCATAGACTTCCATTCCTAAGAAGGCTTTGACGGGGTCGGAAAAATACATTTAAAAGATCCCCGAAGTAGCTTATTCTCTTTTGTTCTGAGACACAATTGTCCACTATGTCACTAGCCTTGGGCGGCCTGGGAACTTGCTATGTAGACCAGACTAATCTCGAACTCACGGAGGTGCGGCTGCCTTGGCCCGAGTAGATTCTTAGGATCTACTGTTGTCACTACTATTTCAGTCTCCTCACAGGCTTCCTGCCCCCTTGGTGCCTTCACAATGTCACAGGAGGCTTGTTTTTTATTCCCTCCACACTTTTATTTCGAGTTTATTTGTGTGTGTGTGTGTGTGTGTGTGTGTGTGTGTGTGTGTGTGTATTTGACGGGGCGTGGTGTAGAAGTCAGAAGACAACCTGTGTGGATTTGTTCTCTTTCTTCAGCCATGTGGGTTCTCCTGATAGAACTCAGGCCAGGTGGTTCGGGCTTGGCGGACAGTACCTTTACTGCTGGGCCATCTTACAGGCCCCGCAAGAGTCTTGATGGTGTCCTCTTGAGAGTAAAGTCTTTTAATGTGCTGTCACCCAAGACGGAATGCCTTTAAGTTGGGTCCTACCCGTTGTTCGGTAGCTGCGCCTCTCCCACACCTTAACCCTACTGTTTACGAATGATTCTTGTAAACTTTCCCACCTCTTTTTTGATACTGGTTTCCCACATTTGAAGTTACTTTGCAGTCTTTGCTCATTCTTCAAAGCTCAAAATGCTTTCCCCAAGCATCTGCATCCTTCGAGACAGGCAGCCCGTCTCTTTTATACCACTTTGACTATAATCATGCACACTAGTGTGAGGGCGGGGTCTACTTGTTTGCATGTCTGCTTCCTTGCTTTTGCAAGTTGCTTGGCAGCAAAGCCACGTTTCTTCAGGGTGCTACCCGGCAGGCACAGCACTTACTACGTTGACGGAGTGGACGGAGATAGGATTCCTAAACGTAGTAGCTGAGTGACATTGGATGAGTCACCTCTCTGTCCTGTGTGTTCCCACAACTGCAAATTGGTGTTTATGATATCCTCTGAACAGAATAGCAAAAACTCTTGTGAGACCCCCTAGCATGTGCTGCTACTCAAGATGAACCTTATAGCCATATTAGTGCCCATTTAAAAGCAGAACTAAGGAAGGGAACTATTATGCTTTATGTTAATTAGGTGCTGGGCTTGTTTTCCTAGTATGAGTCCTGTTGCTTTTTAGGGACATATTGGACATTGCCCCAAATAGTTGTACACCTGGTTCAACCCGGGATTTTGGGTTAAACGCAGTGCGACGTCGCCCCCTGTTGCTCGCTGGTGGAAGTTTGAGGGCAAAGTTAGGCATCTTCTCCAAACCACCGCTCAGGTGTTCTGGACTTTGCAGTTCCCAACTATCGCCTCTGGTTCCTCCCTCTCCAGGCTGTCAGCGCACCCTGGCTGCGGAAGCCCCGCCTACCTCGCGCATACTGGAGGCGGGGTCTGTGGCGTTTTGCTGCCGTCACTTCCAGTGGACCCGGAAGCGGTGCTGTCAGCAGGCCAGAGTTAGGAAATCCTGATGGATCCGAGCTTAGTGTGAACCCTGGGCCGTTGCAGGGCCGTGGTGGGCGGGCCTGGGTTTGGTAACCAGCGGAGCGGCTAGGGCGGAGCGGCCTCTGGGCCAGTATTGGAGAGCCGTGGCTGAGCGTTCTGCCGGGCCAGCGTTGCCCCGCCTCCAGGTTGGAACCGGCTTCCACCTTCCGTCTGGCTCGACAGCACTTTTGCCTGGCCACCGCGGCCCCTCAGTCCGTCCGGACAGCTGGATGTGCGGCCTCTGGCCAGACAGTCCTCTCTGATTCACTTCTAGATGTCCCTGAGGCTCTGTCCGAGGCTGCCAGAACACTAACGTGGAGCAACCCACTCCAGAACCCCCATGGAGAAGTTTGGAATGAATTTCGGGGGCGGCCCAAGCAAAAAGGATCTGCTGGAGACTATAGAGACACAGAAAAAGCAGCTTCTCCAGTACCAGGCAAGGCTCAAAGATGTGGTCCGGGCCTATAAAAGCCTGCTGAAGGAGAAAGAGGCCCTGGAGGCCAGCATCAAAGTACTGTCGGTATCCCACGAGGCGGATGTAGGCCTTGCAAGCGTACAGCCTTCAGGTCTCACGTTTCCTGACTCTGTGGATGATCGTTGCTCCACTCACAGCGAGGATAGCACCGGAACCGCCACTAGCTTGGATACTGCAGCCAGTCTTACGAGCATCAAGGGTGAGTTTGGGGTCGAAGATGACAGAATGGCCCGTGGACCACTTCCTCCAAAGTCCGAAGAGGCCAGTGGGTCAGAGAGTGGCGTTAGTAGCAGCAGCGGGGATGGACCGGCTGCGGGTAATGAGATGGACAGAAGACTCCATCAGCTGAAGACTCAGTTGGCTACATTGACCAGCTCCTTGGCTACAGTCACCCAGGAGAAGTCCCGTATGGAGGCATCTTACCTGGCGGACAAAAAGAAGATGAAACAGGATCTAGAGGATGCCAACAAAAAGGCAGAGGAGGAGAGGGACCGTCTGGAAGGAGAATTGAAGGGGCTGCAGGAGCAGATAGCAGAAACCAAAGCCCGACTTATCACACAGCAGCATGATCGCGCCCAGGAGCAGAGCGACCATGCTGTCATGCTGCGGGAGCTACAGAAGCTGTTGCAGGAGGAAAGGACCCAGCGCCAGGATCTGGAACTTCGCTTAGAAGAGACCAGAGAAGCCCTGGCAGGCCGGGCGTATGCCGCTGACCAGATAGAAGGGTTTGAACTGCAGACCAAGCAGCTGACCCGTGAGCTAGAGGAGCTAAAAGGTGAGCTGCAAGCCATTCGGGATGAGAGGAACCGACCAGACCCACGGCTGCAGGAGCTTCAGCAAGAGGCTGCCCGTCTTAAAAGCCATTTCCAGGCCCAGCTGCAGCAAGAGATGAGGAAGGTAATTATCCTCATACCCTTCAAACAACTATTTTAACTTAACTAGGAAATATTAGGGTTTTATTATTTTTCTCGTTTGGCCTTTAGAATAGATTCTCTCTGTCTCTCTCCTCTCTCTGTCTCTCTGTGTGTCTGTGTGTGTTTCATGAGGCAGGGTCTCACCATGTAATCTGGTCTGGTCTTGAACTCACAGAGACCTGACTGCTTTTCCCTACAAAGTGCTCGGATCAAAGACTTGGCCAGGATTGCCCGGTGCTTTTTGGCCTCTTGAGTGCTGGGATTGCAGTCCGGTCCCACATTCCCAGCAGGCCCTCGCACTCTGATGTTTGATGCCAACTGAAAAATTCCATCAGTGCGTCTTGTTCTGTGTACTGTCCTTGCAATGGGATGAGGAGTTTCTGCGTTTTTCTGGGCCCACGCCAGATAGGCTTATCTAGGCCTCTAGGTGCTGTGCTGTTTGAGGCACTATCGTGACAGCTGTGTAGTGGAAGGTTGCGTGTGTCTTGAGAAGTGTGTGCTTATAGTAGAGGAACTGCAGGAAGCAAAGGGGGTTTTCCCAGAAAAAAAAAAAGCATGCCTTCGTCTGAGGTGTACCTGTTTTAGAAAATGCTGTTTCACAGTGTTTCAGTGTAGAGAGGAAAAGGAAAAAGGAGTTACGTAACCTCCTTAAATAATCTGGGAAGCCCATGGTTAATAGGAATGTACTTTGTACTCAAGCTCAATAAGAAGTGGAAAGCTGTCATGGAAATTGCACGCACACAAGGGAACTTCAATTAGGAACCCCCAGTTCCCACTGGTTCCAGGCCACCCTAACCCCGTGACCCTTGGCTTCTGTGTCTTGCTCCTCCACACCCGGGTGACTGTAGGGCTTTGTGCCTTTCTGGATGCGTGATCGCCTGTCCTTTGCTTTTTAGACAGCCCTTGCGGAGGACCAGCTTCGCCAGCAGTGTCAGGCAGAAGAGCAGAGGGTCGCAGCCCTGGAGAATCAAATCTCTGAGGTGTCTGAAGTGCTGGGCACCTACGAGAAGGCCAAGCAGAAAGACCAGCTGGCCATCCAGAAGCTGAAGGAGCGGATTCTGCAGCTGGACCTGGAGAACAAAACGCTGGCCCTGGCAGCCTCTAGCCGCCCCTCCCTCGACAGCCATGGGGACGAATCCAGCCTGGATGTCAACGTCTTGAAGGATAAGATGGAGAAGCTCAAAAGGCTCCTGCAGGTTGCAGCTCGGAAAAGCCAGGTGGCCCTGGATGTGGAGAAGCTCTGTGACCCTGAGATCATGCCCAGCTCTGAGGCCGCTGATGGGGAGAAGGCCACTGCGCTCTACTACCAACAGGAGCTGAAGCAGCTGAAGGAAGAGTTCGAGCGCTACAAGATGCGAGCCCAGGTCGTGCTCAAGAGCAAGAATACCAAGGATGGGAGCCTGGCGAAGGAGCTGGAGGCGGCCCAGGAGCAGCTTGCAGAGCTGAAGGAGAAGTACATCTCCCTGCGGCTGTCCTGCGAGGAGCTTGAGAGCCAGCACCAGCAGGAGGCCGAGGACTGGAAGCAGGAGCTGGCCCGGCTGCAGCAGCTCCATCGGCAGGAGCTGGAACACAGCCAGCTAGACTTCCGGGACCGCACGCTCAAGCTGGAGGAGGAGCTGCATAAGCAGCGGGACCGGGCCCTGGCCGTGCTGGCTGAGAAGGACTTGGAGCTGGAGCAGTTGCGTTCCGTGGCCTTGTCCTCTGGCCTGCCGGGACGCAGGAGCCCCGTGGGTGGAGTGGGCGGTGGAGGTCTTGGGGACCCCGGCGACACAGCTTCCTCAGATAGCCTGACCCAAGCCCTGCAGCTCGCTGCAGCCAATGAGCCCACTTTCTTCCTGTATGCCGAGCAGTTGGCCCGAAAGGAGGTGGAGATCACGTCTCTGAGGAAGCAGAAACACAGGCTGGAGGCCGAGGCCCACCAGTTGCAGGAAAGGCTGCTGGAGGAGGGGGAGCGGCACCGAGAGGAGGTTGGAGCCCTCCAGAGCCACATCGAAAAGAACATCAGGGACCAGAGCAGGGAAGGGGCCAACCTGGAGTATCTCAAAAACATCATCTACCGCTTCCTGACCTTGCCGGACAGCCTGGGCCGCCAGCAGACGCTCACGGCCATCCTGACCATCTTACACTTCAGCCCCGAGGAGAAGCAAGTGATACTGCGGCTCCCAAGTGGGGGGAGCTGGTGGCCTTCTGGCAAGAGATGATGCCTTTTCCCAACTCCCGAAATCTCTGTGCCTCTTTCATGTGGGAAGGGCAGGCGCAGATGTCTGCGCCTCTTCTCACGTTCTCACGTATTTCTTCACTGTGTGGAACTCACAGCAGTTCAAAGTTGGATGGGGTTTTCTGCCAAGTGCCATTAATGCAACTTTATCCTTGGGCTCTAGGGATGCTGCAGGTGTTGAGACCGCATCTTCTGGTGGTGTGTATCTGGAACAGGCTAGGGAGAGAGGCTGGGGCTAAGAGGTGCAAGTTAGGGAAGTGGCGAGAGTCTTTAGGAATAAGATGTTTTTTATTATGCTGCTAGCTCGGAGCTAGGAGTAATGTGACTCCCAGAAGAGCTCATCTGACTTTGGACATACACAGTAACTATGTGTGTATTCCTTGTCAGTCAGGCCTGGTCCACTTTTGTCCTAATTTTTCTGGGGACATAAATTCAAGCTAGAAAGAGACCAGGAAGTTAGAAATAGTAACCGTTTGTCCAAAGGGTTGTGGCATGATGAGTTCATCCCGGAACTTGGAACCTTGGTTCCAGGGACCAGCCCACCACTTGTAACCATTCCAGAGAGGGTCCTGAGTACCATGTGACCTCAGAGATTTCCCAAGTTATCTGATATGGGCCAGGACGGGATTAAAAAGAACGCTCTCTTGCTCAAGCTGTCTGCCCAAGGTCAGCCTGAGAGTGTGAGTCAACACTGAGCTTGTATTAAGAAATGAATCCCTAGCTTCTTACAGAGCATTCAGATAGTAAGCTGGGGACCTCCTTGGACACAAGGAATTACTGCCATAATTTGTTCCCAGCTGTTTTCTTTTGCAGGGACAGGAAAGAGTAGGTAATTTGCTGCAGATTCCAAAAGACTGTTATGACCCTCACACGAAAAGTGACGTTCAGCTGAAATACTTTGTGCCCTGTGGGTGTTGACAAAGGTGAATTCTATTCTTTAAGGAAAAATAGCTCTCAGAAAACTGGGGTCAAAGCAGTATCAGTTGCCCAATTCTTTCCTTTGCTTAGTCTACTCTTCATGGTTTTAAAGACCTTGGGACCTACAAGACCAATGTTGGACCATTAATATGTATCTTTTTGCTATTTTTATTACGAGATCTGTTTTTGCAAAAGTTTGGGGTACAGAAGACTTTGGCTAATAATGTTTTGGATGGGCGGAGGTGACATGATTGTCTGCATGAGCAGACTTCAGTGGGTCAGAAGTCTGTCTTTATGGTAATACCAATGGTCATTAAACCTGAGTGACTTGAGCTGTGTCTCCTTAATGGTGGTGTCTCTGCATCAGAACACAAGTAGAGTATGGATGTAAATGGTGACTGGGAAGGCTAGATACATAGCTCCTTATATTGCTCTCTGAGCTTGAATCCACGCTGCATTATGCCAATCCATGAGCTTGACTCCAGGGAGGGATACCTCAGGGCTTTAACTGCTTCACATGTAGCAAATTTCACAGCCTGGCATTGTGTATGTGTGTCGGGGGGAGGGGGTGCTGCAATGGAAAATCTTTTCCAGCGGGTTTAGTGTATGGGCTTGATGCGTCCATAATTGCTGCTTCATAGTCTAGAAGTAATCTGTTTACGCACGCTTCTTTATCCTTAAAATAACTCTATGCTGCAGAGTTATCTCAGGACGTTAGCACTCTTCATTTCTTTGATAATACACTTCTTTCATTTCTTTTTTTTTTTTTTTTTTTTTTTTTTTTTTGGTTTTTCGAGACAGGGTTTCTCTGTATTGTTTTGGAGGCTGTCCTGGAACTCGCTCTGTAGACCAGGCTGACCTCCAACTCACAGAGATCCGCCTGCCTCTGCCTCCCAAGTGCTGGGATGAAAGGTGTGCACCACCAATGCCTGGCTCACTTCTTTCATTTCTTTACCTTGCTTTCTTAAATGTAGGACGTCCTGTGATTGCTATATTTCTAGGTGGTTCTGGGAGGAATAGTAAGATCCATAGCTACAGTTGCTTTTCTAGAACTAATATTTGCCGTGCTTAGATTTTTTGTTTGTCCATTTCATACATTTATATAATGAAAATTATTCATTTTCACCACAGCTCCAACTCCTCTTTTTTTTTTTTTGAGACCGGTTTTTCTCTGTGTAGCCCTGGTTGTCCTGGAACTTGGGTCAAAGCAGTATAAGTTGCCTAATTCTTTCCTTTGCTTAGTCTGCTATTCTTGATTATAAAGACCCTGGGACCTGAAAGACCCTCCATAGACCAGACTGGCCTAGAACTCACAGAGATCTGGTTGCCTCTGCCTCCTGTGTGCTGGGGTTAAAGGCCTGCGCTTCTGCCGCCGCCACCACAACCTGAGGAGTTTCTCTTTTCCTAAAATTAAAAACAAAAACAAAAACAAATCAACTTTGTTTTTATGTGTATGGATGTTTTTCTGGCAAGTCTGTTTCACATGCACGCCGGGTGCCCCCAGGGGTCAGAAGAGGTTGTCACATCCCCTGGGACTGAGGTTACGAACAATAATAGTAAGTTCCCAAGTGGGCGCTGGAAATTGAACCCAGATACTCTAGAAGAGCAGTGATTGCTCTTTACCAGTGAGCCATCCCTCCAACTCATCTCCCTCCCTCCCTCCCTCCCTCCCTCCCTCCCTCCCTCCCTCCCTCCCTCCCTCCCTCCCTCCCTCCCTCCAACTCATCTCCCTCTCCCTCCCTCCCTCCCTCCCTCCCTCCAACTCATCTCCCTCTCCTCCCTCCCTCTCTTCCCTCCCTCCCTCCCTCCCTCCCTCCAACTCATCTCCCTCTCCTCTCTCCCTCTCTTCCCTCCCTCCCTCCCTCCCTCCCTCCAACTCATCTCCCTCTCTTCCCTCCCTCCCTCCCTCCCTCCCTCCCTCCCTCCCTCCCTCCCTCCCTCCCTCCCTCCCTTCCTCCTTCCCTCTCCCTCCCTCCCTCCCTCCCTCTCTTCTTTCCTTTTTTCTTCTGGGACAGGGACTGTCTAGTCCTAGCTGTCTTGGAGTTCACTGTGTAGACTAGACTGACCTTGAACTCATAGCCATCCTCCTGTCTCTGCCTCTCAAGTGCTAGAATTGAAGGCATGTGCCACCATGCCAGGCTGAAGATTATATATCTTTAATAAAATAGTAGATTTCCATCTGGCTTTTTCATAGATCTTTAGTTTTGTTTATCCTTCCAACCCCAGGCCCCCTCTTTGTCTTCAACCCTTTCACTATTTAGACCTTTCTACCCCTAACCCTTCCTTCTGTTCGGCTTTCATGTGTGATGAGGTCTGTCTCCCCTGCCTGTCATGGCCTGCTTCTGTCTTTCTGGCCTTTATTTTGTTGTGTTTGAACTTCTAAGAAAGCAATAATCGGGCCAATTTGGGAGTAGAAACTTAGGTTATTTTTGAGACAGGTTCTTATTATGTAGTCCAGACTGGCCTGAAACTTACCATATAGACCAGGCTGGCCTCAAACACCCAGAAATCTGCCTGCCTCTGCCTTTGAGTGCTGGAATTAAAGAAATGTAGCACCATGCCCAGCAATAGTTTTATTTTAAATAAGTACCACTAGTATCATAATTAGTAATATTAATATAGTCATATATATTATATATAGTTGTTATCTCCTATATTGTGTGGCTTTTTTTTTTCAAGACAGGTTTCTCTGTATAACAGCTCTGGATATCTTGGAACTTGCCTCAAACTCACAGAAATCCACCTGCCTCTGCTTCATGAGTGCTGGGATTAAAGGTGTGCATCACTGTCATCTGGCTATTTATCATGTATTTATTTGTCTAATTTTTGTGTATGGGTGCTTTGTCCACGTGTGTGTTTGTGTACCATGTGTGTGCAGTTCCCAGAGAAGCCAGAAAGGGCGCTAGAGCCTCTGAGTTGTTGTTGAAGAGGCTTGTTACCTGCCATTTGAATTCTCTTTAACTGCTGAACCATTTCTCCAGTCCTGCTTTTGTCTTACTGAGAAACGGTCTTGTGTAATTGAACTTGAACTTGCTATGTAGCCAAGGATAGCCTTTAATGCCTGATCCTCCTGCCTCTACTTCCAAAGTACTGGGATTATAGTCTATAGATTTTTGTCTATTATTTATATTCCTTCTTTTTTCTTGTGGGTTTTTTGTTTGTTTGTTTGTTGTTGTTTTTTGAGACAGGGTTTCTATGTGTAGCCTTGGCTGTCCTGGAACTCACTTTGGGATTAGAGGCATGTGTCTCCACCCGACTACAGTAGAGATGTAAGGAGAGTGGGTTGCCAGGCTACGGCTGTACTAGCCGCTTTGGTTTATCCCCCGCCAGTCGCCTGGGCTCTGCCGCGCCAGCCTGGTTCTAGATCCACATGAGTCCCAAATAAACACACAGGAGGCTATATTAATTATGAAGCTGTTGGCCTTGTTTGTCTCTTACTGGCTAGCTCTGCCTTAAGTAATTACCCCATAATTGTTAATCTAAGTATGTTTCTTACCGGAGAATAGTTCCTGGCGTCCTACCCCCATGGCGTCACATGTTGACTCTCTTATGTTTCCCCTTCCCAGAATCCTCCTCGACTCCTAGTCCCTCCTATCTAGGTTTTCTATTGGCCAGACAGTACTTTATTGACAAATGCACAGGCAAATAACAGGACTTCCCCAACATCTCCTCTTCTCTGTTTAAACAAAAGAAAGGTCTTAATTTTAACATAGTTCAGTTCAGTTCAGAGGGGTTAGCCTGGGCTTGTGGGGCTTCTCCCAGGGCTGGGTTTCACCGTGATGGTCTTGGTGCTGGGTTCTAAGACTAATGTCTGGACTTCATTCCTTTTAATCTTTTCAATTAATTTTGGCAGAATCACATGTTTATAATTCATTCTGGTCATGCTCCCCTAGCCCCGTCTTCGATCCCTCCCACCCACTAGTCTCCCATCTCTTTCCCACATTCCTGACTTCGTGTTTTGTTTTGTGACCCACTGAGTTTAGCAAGAGCCATCTGTGTGACCCTGGATTTGAAACTATCCACTAGATCTGGGCCCGGCTGTAGGTGAAACTGGATGTGATTATAACAGAAGACAACGATTCCATGCCTCCTAGAGTTGGCCATAGCTCAGCAGTAAGTGGTGCCGCACAAGTCCCTCCCTCACCGATGGCTAGCTGTTGGCAGGGCCAATCTTGTGCAAGCCTGGTGAGGTCATGATTGCAGTGGCTGTGCTGTACCTAGAAGGTGGCATTTCACAGACTCCTCCCTGTCTTGCAGCTCTTGAATTGTTTCTGCCCTCTCTCAAGCCTTGTTCCTTGAGCCTTAGTAGGGAGTAGTATAAATGTCTCCATGAAGGCTAAGTCCAGGAGCAGTGTGGCTGGGTCATATGGTAGTTCTATGTCTAATGTTTTGAGCAACCCCAGACTGATTTCCAAAGAAAATGTTCTACTTTACACTTTTACCAGCAGTGAATAAGGGTCTCCCCTTTCTCACAGCAACACTGGGATTTGCTGCTGCTAGTATTCTCGATGATGGGCATTCTCACTGGGTGAGATGGAATCTTAAAATAGCTTTTAATCTGCATTACTCTGTTGGCTAAGATGTTGAATTATATTTTTTGGGGGGACAGGGTTTCTCTATGTGCCCTGGCTGTCCTGGAACTCATTATGTAGACCACACTGTCCTTGAAATCACAGAGATTCTCCTATCTCTGCCTCCTGAGTGCTGAAGTGAAAAGCATATGCTTTCATGCCCAGCTCCATATTTAACAATTAAGATAAAGTGACCACTTTACTGACCATTTCTATTCCTTCTTCATAGCCCACTTCAAAAATTAAGTTGTTTTGTTTTCTTGGTGTTCAATTTTTGAGTTCCTTGAATATTGTAGACACTAACTGCTGTCAGAGGTAGAGTTGATAAAGATTTTCTCCCATTCTGTGGCCTGACTGGTAGTTTCTTCGCTGTACAGAGGTTTTTAATTCCATGAGATCCCAGCTGATTGTTTATCTTGTTCTTTTGTTCCCAGCCCCTATTCAGAAAGTCTTTACCTGTGTCTATCTCTAAGTTGAAGCATACTCCCTACATTTTTCTCTAGCAGTTTTGGGGTATCAGGTCTCATTCATGTTAAGGTCTTTGATCCATTTAGAGTTGAGTTTTGCGTGGGACCACACTGAAAATTATGACATAGATTCAAATGTTAACTTAAATAACGCTATTCTGTTTTTCTGAGGTGTAGGCTTTAGCGGACGCTGTAACAATACGCGACACACAATTACTGACAGTAAAGCTAAGTATTTAATGTAGAAAATTACTCACAAGATACCAAACCCAGAGGAGCAGTTTTTCAGCTAGC